GGGGGGGGGGGGTCTAATGCATTGTGACTTAATTACACTGTTAAAGAGTTGGATTCTCATGCTAAACATGGCCAACGTATTTCTGAGCCAAATACACTCCTTCATGGTTCGTATACGTTTCGGAATTATTATTGTTTGATGATAGAATGACAGGCTGAACACTCAGAACATGTCATCCATCAACCGACTTCGATGTACTCTGTGAACATGCAGTGTATGTTATGCAGTGTATCTGTTCTTTTCGGACTGAGCATGCAATACCAAAGCTTTGGCATGGAGTCCCAGTGAGGTAATATCTGCTTGCCGAATACAATACCAATCTCTTTCGAGCCAGAATTGAACCAGCAACCAAAGGATAGCCAATGCTTCTGTCCATCTACAGTCCATGCTATTGCAGGAAAGGCAAACCTGTAGCCACAACAACGCACCAGGAAACTCAGAAAACATCTTAAGTGTGAAGTCTAATGTGAAAAGCATTCCTTCTGTTGTGTACCTTGATAGATTTGCATATTCACACACAGGCTTTTTTAAATGGCAATACAAAGTATTAAAAAATAGTGGAAACAGCTACGTGCCGAAATCAAAACCAATCTTCTTCAAGCCGGAATTGAATCAGCGACATAAGGATAGCATAAGCTTCATCTACAGTCCTCGGCTCTATCAGCTGAGCTATCGAAAGAAAGACGATGCTGCAGCCACAACAAAGAAACCAGGAAACTCAAAGTGCTTATGCAAAAACCACCAACTCCTCCGCTAGTAACTCATGGCACAAGGGTAGCGCAACTGACCAATCTCTTCTTGATCTCCTGAGTATGAAGTCTAACCTCTAGCATTTCCCTTCTGTGTTATACAATGATTGATTTGCATAGTACATCAAAGTGCTTATGGGAGAAGCACCTCCTAACTTTTCAGGACCTTGGGGCGCAACTGTAGCACGTCTGACTCCAGATCAGAAGGTTGTGTTTTCAAATCATGTCGGGGTCAGGTGAACTCTTCTTGATCTCTTCTTGAACTCTTCTTGATTAAGTAAGATGGCGCCGACGCTGATGGCTGCCTCCGTGGCGTGCTCCGCAGTTGTTTTTATGTTTTTGTTAGTTTGTCCTGTC